AGCCAGATTCTCTTTTCAGCACTGGTCGCATGGCTGTGGGCAACTTCCTTCCCCTCTACAAGCTTTGGGCACCTGTCTGTGTGAGAGGGCTAATGATAGCATCCGCCCCAGAGGCTTGTGGGATGGCGCTAAATAAGACACCGCTCCCCAGAGCCGAGCCCACTGTCTGGAAGAGAGGAGGTGCGCCACCGGTGCCAGCAGCTATTAATATCCCTCGAGAGAGAGAACAGGAGATGGAGGAGAGTCAGCCAGGGAGAGGAGGCAGCGGAGTGGGCAGGAAGCCACACAGAAGGCCGACAGATGGCGGAGGCCTGTGGGCAGCCGAAACTGGGCGTGGGCCGGGGCTCTGAGCCCGAGGGATGAGGCAGAGGGTCTACTGTGTGACTCTGCAGGGGCTGCCCCCACAAAGTCCCACAGACTGGGCCGCTTACACAATAATGGCTCCGGAGGCTGGACGTCCACGATCAAGGTGTCGGCAGGGTCGGTGTCTCCTGAGGCCTCTCTCCTCGGTGTGTAGCCGGCCATCTCCTTCCTGTGTCCACACATGGGCTTTCCTCCGAGCGTGTCTGTGTCCTCATCTCCTCTTCTTATAAGGACACCGGTCGTACCACATAGGGGCCCACCCTAACGACCTGATTTTAACTTAATTATCACTTTCAAGGCGCATCTCCAAAGGCAGTCACATTCTGAGGTGCGGGGGGTTAGTGCTTCAACATATGGACTTGGGGACACCATTCAGCCCATAAGGGCCGTTAAGGGGGTCCCTGGGAGAAAGGGAGCAGGAAGAAGAGTCAGCCGGAGGCAGCAGTCTTGCTAAGGATGTGCCCACGACCTGGTCTAGTCTCCGTGAGGCCGGAGGGAGTGTCCATTTCTGCCCACAAGGGCTGGTCAGACGCCCGTCTCCCTCATTCCGGTTCTTTATAGTCAAAAAGGGCCTAACTAAGCCAGTCCATGGACAGTTGGCATCCTGCCCGGCCCAGTGAGAGCTCAATAAGTCGCAGCTGTTATTGTTATGAAGATTATCTGGTTGGCAATCTTAATACTAGAATAAATATCATTTAGGTCAAAAAAGATGAACTAGGTTATATAAGGGTGAACATTACAATGACATTGGAGATGTGGCATTACGAAACCTATATGCTTCACAAAAAGACAAAATGAAAAACATTATGTTAGGAATGGCAGAAATTGACAGAAATGTAATTGCAATGAGAATTGAATATCATCCTTTGGTAAATTGAGTGTCATAAAAAGAGATGAGCGATCCAGGATCGCGCTCCTCAGTACGTATGCAGATGAAGTTTACAACCACACAAACACCTGCACACGGATGTTTCTAGCAGCTTTAGTCATAATCGCCAAAACGTGGAAGCACCCAAGATGCCCTTCAGCAGGTGAGCGGACAGACAGACTGTGGGACACCCAGGCAATGGGATTTTGGTCAGCGCTAAAAAGAAATGAGCTCTCAAGCCATGACAAGACATGGAGGAACCTTAAATGCGTATGACTGAGTGAAAGAAGCTGATCTGAAGAGGCCACATCCTGGATGATTCCAATTCTATGACATTCTGGAAAAGGCAGAACGACGGAGACAGTGAAAGATCAGTGGCTGCCCGGGGCTGGGGGAGGGAGGAACAGGTGGAGCACAGAGGATTTTCAGGGCAGTGAAAATACTCTCTATGACACAGTAATGATGAACACGTGTCATTATACGCTCATCCAAACCCTAGAATGTACAACACCAAGAGTGAGCCCTAGGGGCTGGCCCGGTTGCCTAGTGGTTAAGTTCGTGCACTCTGCTTCGGCAGCCTGGGGTTTGCTGGTTCTGATCCTGGGTGTGGACGTACACATGGCTCATCAAGCCAGGCTGTGGTGGCATGCCACTTAGAAAAATTAAAAGGACCTACAACTAGAATATACAACTATATACTGGGGCTCTGGGGAGGAAAAAAGAAAAGAGGAAGATTGGCACCAGATGTTAGCTCAGGGCCAATCTTCCTCCCCACCCCACCCCCAAAAAAGCGTATCTTAAAAAAAAAAAAAAAAAAGGAATATTGGGGCCGGCCCCGAGGCCAAGTGGTTAAGTTTGCGCGCTCCGCTGCGGTGGCCCAGGGTTTCACCGGTTCAGATCCTGGGTGCGGACCAGGTTGAGACGGTGTCCCCCTAAAAAATATACAACTATGTACTGGGGAGATTAGGGGAGGAAAAAAAGAAGATTGGCAACAGTTGTTAGCTCAGGTGACTATCTTTAAAAAAAAAAAAGAATAAAATAAGAGTGAACCCCAATGTCAGCTATGGACTCAGGTGACAATGACGTGTCCACATAGGTTCATCGGTTGTAAGAAATGTCCCACTCTGGCGCCATGTTGATCGTGAGGAATGCTGGGGGGGGATAGTATATGGGAACTCCCTGTACTTTTCACTCAATTTTGCCATGAACCTAAAACTGCTCTAAAAAATAGTTTCATATTAAAAAAAAGAAAGAAGTTGGGGGGGGCCGTGGCACAGCAGTTAAGTGCGCACGTTCTGCTTTGGTGGCCCGGGGTTCACCGGTTCGGATCCTAGCTGCGGACATGGCACCGCTTGACAAGCCATGCTGTGGTAGGCGTCCCACATATAAAGTAGAGGAAGATGGGCATGGATGTTAGTTCAGGGCCAGTCTTCCTCAGCAAAAAGAGGAGGATTGGCAGCAGATGTTAGCTCAGGGCTAATCTTCCTCAAAAAAAAAAAAAAAAAAAAAGAGTCGCTAATTGTTTTTTAATCAATTCTATGTTGAGAATACAGTACTGTTTAGTGAAGATCAATATATTAAATTTATGCATCTATTCATAAAAAATGACACAGAGGATGTGAATGTTGTGATTAATGAAATAATTAATTTGTATACCAAAGTTTACACCGTACAAATAGCAAGTAGGTTTTTTTAAAAATTAGCTTTCTATTTTAGAACAGTTAGATTTATAGAAAAATTGCAAAGATGGTACAGAGAATTCTCGTGTCCCCCACAGCATTCCCCCTATTAGCAATACCTTGATTAGTATGGGACATTTGTTACAATTAATGAACCAATGCTGATACCTTATAATTCACTAAAGTCCAGGCTTTATTCAGATTTTCTTGAATTTCCTCTAATGTCCTTTCTCTGCCCCAGGAGCCCATGTAACATTTCACTGTCATGTGTCCTTAGGCTCCTCTGGGCCGGGATGGTTTCTCAGACTTTCCTTGTTTTTGGTGACCTTGACAGTTTTAAGGAGGCCTGGGTGGGAATTTTATAAATTCTCTGTCAGTTGGTTTTGTCTGATGGTTTTCTCCCGGTTAGCCTGGGGTGATGGGGAGCAGGCCCACAGAGGAGAAGGGCCCTTCTCATCATATTACATCCTGTTAAGAGCACAAGCCATCAACATAACTAGTCATGGCTCATATGAGCCTTTTTTGCTTCCAGTTTTCAAGGAACAGGAACAAAAAATGCTAACTACATAGTTCAAGAAGGATATCTCTAAGTACAAAAAGATGGAAACTGCCTACGTCCCAGGTTCTGCTATGGTGCAATTATAACGGATAAAGCTTGAGTTATCCCTGATTGCCTGAGGGACGTGGATGGGGGGCAGGGCAGTCTTTAAAGTGGTCACCATAACCCCCACCTCCTATATTTATGCTCTCGTCGGAGCCTCTCCCCTTGAGTGTGGGCAGGACCTAGTCCATTTTAACTAACAGAATATGACAAATGTGATGGATGTCACAGCCGAGACCGGGTTACCAAAGACTGCCCCTTCCGTCTTGCTGGTCCTCTCCTGCACCCTCGGGTAGAAGCTGGCTGCCATGTTGGAAGCTGCCATAGGCACGCGTGGCAAAAACTGACGAGAGCCACTAGTCAGCGGACTGTAAGAAACTGAGGCCCTTCATGCGACAGCCCGGAAAGGACTGAATGCTGCCAACGGCCACTGAGTGATCTTGGAGCAGAACCTCCCCAGTTGGGCCTCGAGACGATTACAGCCCCACCCACAGCTTGACCACAAACTTGTAGGACACCCGGGACCAGAGGACCAGCTGGGGCCCACCCGGATTCCTGAGCCACAGAAACTGTGAGAGTGTACATATTTGTTGTCTGAAGCCGTTACATTTTTAAAACAGCTTTAACAAGGTATAACTGATATACAAAACCTGCGCATATTGAATGGGTACAATCAGGCGAGTTTGGACATCCACATACACCCGCGGCACCATCGCCACAATCGAGGTAATGAACACATCCATCACTTCCAAGGTTTCCTCGTGTGCCTTCATTTTGGGGGGCTTTCTGGGCGGAGGTAAGAACACCCAACATGAGATCTACCCTCTTTACAAATTTTTCAAGTACACAATACAGTCTTATTAACTAGAGGTGTTGTGTTGCGTGGCAGAGCCCTTGAACTTGTTTATCTTGCCATCTAAGACTTTACACCCATTGACCAATATCTCCCTGCTGGGATCCCCAGCAACCCCCACTCTGCTCTCTGTCAAGCCATTATGTTTTGGGCCAATTTGTGATCATCCTAACCCCAAATCTTGCCCTTCCTGGATGAGCACCACAGATTCACTCCCAGCTTTCTGGATGCTTCTCCAGAGGGCGGCTCCTGGAGCGTCTCCATCGTATGCTGCTCCTGGCCTTGCCAGGGACCATGCCCAGCCCATCCAGTGCACACTCACCGAACAGTGGTGGCGGGGTCCCTGCACCCTGCCACCACTCCAGGCAGCGTTGGGCACGCAGCTTGGTCCACTGATGGGGTAGGACCGACTGTCTTAGGCAGTTCGGGCTGCGCTAACAGAACACCACAGACCGAGTGGCTTAATCACAGACATCTGTTTCTCACAGTTCTGGAGGCTGGGAGGTCCAAGACCAAGGTGCCAGCAGATTCGGTCCTTGGTGAGGGCTCTCTTCCCAGCTTGGAAAGAGAGAGGGGAGCTCTTAACCAATTTTTAAGTGTTCAGTACACTTTTGTCAATCATATGCCCATTGTCATAAAACTACGGAACGCTTCGTAAATTTGCGTGTCATCTTTATGCAGGGGGCTGTCCTAATCTTCTCTGTCTTGTTCCAATGTCAGTGTATGTGTCGCCGAAGCGAGCACCCAGCCAGACTTCTGGCCTCCAGAACTGTGAGATGCTAAATAGGTGTTAATTTAAGCTGCTAAGTTTGTGGTGACTTGTTCTGCAGAAATAGGAAAGTAAGACTCTACCCACATAAGACCGTTGGAAGACTTAAATGGGAAAATGCTCGGACTGCATTTAGCACAGAGCCTGGCATCTGGTCAGTGCTATTATACGTTAGCTGGGGGGCCGGCCCGGTGGCTCAGTGGTTAAGTTCACACATTCCACTTAGGTGGCCTGGGGTTCACAGGTTTGGATCCCAGGTGCGGACATGGCACCTCTTGGCAAGCTGTGGTAGGCGTCCCACATACAAAGTAGAGGAAGATGGGCACAGATGTGAGCTCAGGGCCAGTCTTCCTCAGCAAAAAGAGGAGGATTGGCAGCAGATGTTAGCTCAGGGCTAATCTTCCTCAAAACAAAACAAAACAAACAAACAAAATGTTAGCTGGTATTGATATCACTGACCCCCCCACCCCACGCCCACCCAGTAAAAACCACTTGGAGCCCATTGCCAGCCTGGAAACTTGCACTATAAATAAAGTCTTCTGTCTTCTAGGACATTCACATAACGTCCTGCAGGAGCTCTTTCTTTCATTCACTTTGTCAGTACACAGATTCATTGACATCTACTGTGTGTCAGGCACTGCGCTACGCATCAGGACGTGCAGGTCCAATCCCCAAAGGGCTTACACACTGGGGAGAGGGGTAGAGACCCAGAAGTCATTGCCTGGGGCCGCCTGAAGAGCATGCTCTGCCCGCGCCAGCCTCGCACCCTGGCTCTCCCCACTGGGGACCAGGGTGGCAGATGCAGAGCGGGGCTCTCTCCCCTCTCCTCACAGGCTGAAACAAAGCACTGATGGCGTCCCTCTGATGTCATCCTGGGCCAGCAGCAGACCTCCCAGCCACCGGCCCCCACCCTCCCCTGTCCCTCCCAGGGAAAGAGGTGCAGGGCGAACCCATCTTCTCAGACACTGGTTCCCTTAGGCACCGCCGTCTCTCCTCCCCTTGGATCTCTTCAACTTCTTCCTCCCTCTAGCTCTTTATGCCCAGCAGCTCTGCGTGTAAATACACTCCTGCCTCTCCTGTTAAAAACAACCCAACCCTTAACCAAGCCAGCAGGCTCAGCATCACCATCAAACCAGGCATCAGAAGCTTACATCACGGGCCTCCTCCTGGGATGGAGTGGGAAGTCCACACCATTCCCAGTGGAATGCTCTTGGCCAAATTGGAACCCAATCATGCCCAGTCGATCGGTCCACTTTAGAATGTGGGCTGTTTTTACAAGACAACAGGCCTTCAAAATCGTTAAAGGCTCCTCGCCACCCCCACACTCCTCCCCCCACCCCCGTGCAAAACAAGCAAGGGGACTTTTCTAAGTTAAAGGAGGCTGAAAGAGTGGTGGCAACCAAGTGCAATAAATGAAACTTGATGAATCCTAGATTTGTTTAAAAAAAGTGATCAAATTGGGGAAAGAAAATCAAGTTTTACTTGATTGAATTTGAATTATTTAATCAATGATAAATGTCTTGGGGTAACAACAGCCTTGTGGCCTTGAGGAGAATGCCCTTAGGAGATAGAAGTTTAAGTATTGAAGGGGAAGTGTCATGCTGTCTGCAACTCTCTTTCAAATGCTTTAATGAAACAAGTAACTTCGTTTGTATACATTTGTTTGTATATCTAATAGACAGAATGCTACAACCAGTGGGGTGAAATGAAGCTAGGTGAAGGAAATAGGAGTGTGCATTATACTATTCTTACAACGTTTTGGTACCTTTAGAAATGTTTCAAAATAAAAAGATGGGAAAAACAAATCAGCCATCCTCTCTCCTGCCCGGATGTCCCCCCAGCTGTCATCATTTTGCCTTCTACTCCCAGCAAAGAGAACTCAGAGGAGTCTGTGCTCGCTCTCACTATGTGCAGGTTAAATGCTGAATAACTGGCCTTCAAGCAAACCGAAAAGCTCCTGATCTGTAGTGTTTGCCAATCCCTGTAGTGTAAATATCCCATGATGGCTGATTTCAAGCTACTCACGTGGGGTCGTTAAACACGGAATTGGTAAGCAACCAGCAGCACACACAATGTAGTATTTCCAGCATGCAGATATGATATAACCAAACAGCCTCAGCAGCACAGATAGTAACATGTAGCAAAATAATTAAGAATGAGTTTTGATTGGCGCCGGCCTGGTGGCACAGAGGTTAAGTTTGCACGTTCCGCTTCAGCGGCCTGGGATTCGCCAGTTTGGATCCCGGGTGTGGACACGGCACTGCTCGGCAAGCCATGCTGTGGTAGGCGTCCCACATACAAAGTAGAGGAAGATGGGCATGGATGTTAGCTCAGGGCCAGTCTTCCTCAGCAAAAAAGAGGAGGATTGGCAGAAGATGTTAGCTCAGGGCTAACCTTCCTCAAAAAAAAAAAAAAAAAAAAGAATGAGTTTTGAGTATTTATTACCTTCGTTTTAATAGAATCCATTTGATTAGAAGTTTACACAAAGAATTTTTTAAAATTATTTTATTGAGGGCATATTGGTTTATAACATTGTGTAATTCCAGCTGTACATTATTACACATCAGTTTTGTGTAGACTGCGTTGTGTTCACCACCAATAGTCTAGTTTTCATCGATCACCATACATATGTGCCCCTTTACCCCTTTCCCCCACCCCTGGTCCCCTTCTCCTCTGGTCACCACTAATCTGTTCTCTTTGTCCATGTGTTTGTTTATCTTCCACATATGAGTGAAATCATACCGTGTTTGTCTTTCTCTGTCTGGCCTATTTCGCTTAACATCATACCCTCCAGGTCCTTCCATGTTGTTGCAAATGGGATGATTTTGTCTTTTTTATGGCTGAGTAGTATTCCATTATATATATATACCACATCTTCTTTATCCAATCATCCTTTGATGGGCACTTGGGTTGCTCCCTCATCTCAGCTATTGTGAATAATGCTGTGATGAACACTGGGGTGCGTATATAATAAACTTTTAAACAATGGCTGTGTTTAACAACTGGTTCCCAATTTCCTGGAAATTTGACAGTTGCCTGTCACCAGCTGCTACATGCTGGCTCCAGCACACCTCTGTAAAAAAATGTCACCCCACTGAAATCTGGCTTCTACAGTGTTCATTCAACCAAAACTCTCTTGCTCGTCTCACCAGGCACCCCCATGTTGCAAAACGTAAAGGACGATGGGTAAAGTTCCCGCCGTGCCTCAGTTCTCGGAAGGATTCAGCACTGCCTACTCCAGCTGCCTTTTCCAAGGCCCTCCGGGTCCTCGCCCGACCTGCCGACCAGCCCTACCCAGTCTCAGGGCTCTTCTTCCTCTATTTACCTTTGGGTCTTTGATGTGCCCATTTGACACACTCTCCCTGGGTATGTCCCCCTCCATGGTTTCAACTACAGCTAAGAAGCCAGATTTCTTCTCAAACCTGTATATCCAAATCGCTCAACCAGTTTGCTCCTCTTGGAGTAAAGGCATTTCAAACAAAGCTAGAGTGGAAATCTTCATCTCTTGCTACCACCTCGAGGTGCAGCTCCTGACGGACAGAGAATGCAGGTCTATCCAACTCTGAAGCCAGGGAGTGTATGCTGCCTCCCTTTCGAGTCCCACAGACCTTAGCATGTTTAATAATGGAAATGGCTTCAATAAGCAAATGCAATAGGCATTAACTCCCCCAAGGGACCAGATCCCCACCTCTCCCTAGCCTTAGATTGCACGGACATGTCAAGGTGCCACCACTTGGTGGCGGCATTCTCGAAATAGGTAAACAGTATGGAAGCACTGAAACGACAGAGCCCTGAGCTTCTCCAGCGCGAGGGGTGTCCATTCACACTGAATCGATGGAGGACTGGCCCACATCCAGCCTGATCTCAGCTTCCCTTTCCTGTCCTGGACCCAAACCAACAGGCGCCTTTCCCAAAATGCTGCGTAAATGTGGGCTCCTCCGCTCTTGCTCCGGCAGCATCCCACTGGTCCGTCTGTCGGTCACTGTCAGTCATTCCTTGTCAGTGAGAGCCAGAGTCAGTCATTATCCGGCTGGTCCGCCGTTCAGTCCATCAGTCAGAAAATCAGGATCCACCTGAGTCGGTCCTTGTGGACAGCCTACCTGTCCTCTCCACCGAACGCCACGCCACGTGTAGGGAAATTACTGCCGCAGACATAATCCGCACCCTCAGGCTCCGCCCCTTCGTAGCCTTATCCAACCACAGGTCTCCGCCTCAGAGGAGTGCCCGCCCCCCGGACCCCGCTCTTCAGAAATTCTGCCCTATCAGAGGCCTAGTTCTCTCGGAGTTTCCGCCCCGTATCGAGCCCCGCCCCATTGCCGACCTCTCCCCAGGGCCACGCCCCCTTGGGAAGCCCTGTCCAATCAGAGGCCTTTCCATCCACGATGCCCCGCCCCCCCGGGGGCCGGCTTTTCCCAGACCCACGCCGCTCCAGGCAGAGGCGGTGGATGACGCCATCGGGGCGCGCCGCGAGAAGGTCACAGGGGCTCCTCCAACATGGCGGCAGCGGCGGCGCTGCGGGGAGGCTGGGGCCGCTGCCCGCGGGTGAGCGGACGTGCGGGGCCGCACGGGGCGGGCCTCGAGGGCTCTGGGCTCGCGACCTCCAGGGTCTTCCTCTCCTCAGGCGCTTGGCCCTCGCGGCCCTTCCCTAGGCTCGGCGAGATGCTTGGGGTTGGCTCGTTGAGTCAGCCGAGGCCTGGGCTGGGGGCCCGGAGCGAGGCCTGAGGGCGGGGGCCGAGCTGGCCCGGCCGGGGGCGGCAATGCGCGGAACCGGGCGGAGAGCGGATCGCCCCTCCCCTCCTGATCAGACTCCACGTGCACTGGGGAGTGCATGGTGGCCTCGGCGCCCAGTGCAGAAAAAGTAGGGAAGAGAAGGCAAAAATCCGTGACAGTCACGGCTCACATTTGTGTGCCAGGTCCTGTGCCGAGGGCATCTCCTGCATCGCCTCTCCTAATCCTCCGCGTGAGAATGCCGGAG